CATGATTTGCAAATAGTTTGGCTCGTCTTTTCTTTTGTTTTTAGCACAATTTGTTTATTGTATTTGTCATTTTCAAAAGCCATTTTATTTTTTTTTTATTTTGTTCACTTAGCCAACATATAGTACATCATTAGTTTTTTGAGGTAGTATTCAGCGATTCATTAGTTGCATGTAACACCCAGCACTCATTGTAACATGCCATTTTATGTATAATAAATGTCATTTTCTTGATATAAAACATAAGTAACTATCAAATGATACAAATTTTTTTCTGATAAGCTTTTATTTATTTATTTTTTTATTAACATATAATGTATTATTATCCCCAGGGGTACAGGTCTGTGAATTGTCAGGCTTACACACTTCACAGCACTCACCATAGCACATACCCTCCCCAATGTCCATAACCCAACCACCCTCTCCCTACTCCCCTGCCACCCCCGCAACCCTCAGTTTGTTTTGTGAGATTAAGAGTCTCATATGGTTTGTCTCCCTCCTGATCCCATCTTATTTCATTTTTTCCTTCCCTACCCCCCAAATCCCCCCGGTTTGCCTCTCAACTTCCTCATATCAGGGAGATCATATGATAATTGTCTTTTTCTGATTGACTTATTTTGCTCAGTGTAATACCGTCTAGTTCCATCCACATCTTTGCAAGTGGCCGTCTTTTCATTGTTTTAACAGTGTTTTTGAAGTGAGAACATTTTCAATTTGGGTGAAGTCCAACTTTATTTTCTTTTAAGGTGTCATATCTAAGATCCCTTTGCCTAACCCAAGGTCATGAAGACTTTTCTCCTATCTTCTATAAGTTTTACAATTTTACTTCTTATATTTAGCTATATGATCCATTTTGAATTAATTTGTATATGAATAATCCAAAATTTCAAGCACCATTTGTTTAAAAGACTATCTCTTTCCCCATGTGAGTTTTCTTAGATTTTATATATATATATATATATTTTTTTTTTAAGATTTTATTTATTTATTTGACAGACGGAGATCACAAGCAGGCAGAGAAGCAGGCAGAGAGGAGGAAGCAGGCCCCCCGCTGAGCAGAGAGCCCGCTGTGGGGCTCCATCCCAGGACACTGGGATCATGACCTAAGCCGAAGGCAGAGGCCCCAACCCACTGAGCCACCAGGCGCCCCTTAGATTATATTTTTAAATATTCTGTGCCATAGTTTAGGTTTTCTACTTTAGGGGCCCCATTTATGGGCTTAACAATTTTCCTTGGTTTTTCTTCTGTATTCATCAGCTTTTCCCTGATCCTTCATGACTCTCTATTTCCTTTTTATTTTGGGTCACTTTTCTCACTTCTATCTTTATTTCTATGCCTCTCCCTGAGATGTCTGCAGGGTCTAATCTCCCTTGGGCTTCTTTTTATGTTATCTTCCTTTCTAGGGTGTTTTTGCTTTTGCTTCTGCTTTTTTTCTTTGTTTTGCCAGCTCCCATTTCCTCATCTGCGCCCAGAGTTCGTTCTGGGAGCGTATTTTTGCTGGCACTTTCAGAACTCTGCTCCCATCAAGCTGAGCTCCCAGCTGTCTGCCTTGCTCTGCGCTTCCCTGCAGATGACTTCTGTTACACTTCACCCCTTCCTGCTTCAGCTTTGGACCGCAATCGTAGTTGCTTTTGGCAGTCACTATGTGTATTTTGAGGCTACAGATTATATCTCTCTTTGTTTTGCTGAAAATTGAGCTGTTTTCCTCCTCCTCATTGCTTTTGTATGCTATCCAAGAGTAGAAGAAGAAAATTGCCATCTTGTATCTGCACGTTCATATCTGAGAACCCCAGCCCTGGATCTCTGCTTATTTATCATTCTAATGATTCACTCAGTACCAGAGCTTGAAACTAGTGTCTGCCTACAATTCTAGAAAATTATAAGTTATTTTTGCTTCGACAGTTACTTCTTCCCCTTGTCTCTTATACGGCTCCTCTTCAAACTCACTCTATCCTCTATGGAACTCTTCATCCTATTCTTCATATTTTTAAATCTCTCTTCCCTATTTGTCATCTCTCTGAGCTGTATTCTGCGTAATTTCTTCTAATCTTCTTGGAAGGGCCTTAGGTAACCACTCTATTTAAAAATTTTTGGCAGCTCCTTATCCCTTTCCCCACTTTATTCTTTTCCATAGTATTTTCCACTATTTGACACAATGTATTTTATGTATCTTGTCTCCACTATTTTTTAAATTCTTTTTTCTTTAAGATTTTATTTATTTGACAGAGAGAGAGAGAGAGAGAGATTGAGCACAGGTGAGGGGAGCCTGAGACAGAGAAGCAGGCTCCCCAAGGAGCAGGGAGCCCGATGCGGTACTCAGGACCCTGGGATCATGACCTGAGCTGAAGACAGATGCTTAACAGATTGAGCCACCCAGGCACTCCAATTTTTTTTTTTTTATTCTTAACTTTTTTTTTTTTTTTATGATTTTATTTGAGAGAGAGAACATGAGCAGGGGGAGGGGCAGAGGAGAGGGACAAGCAGATTCCCTGTTGAGTGCAGAGCCCTGTGCGCTCAATCCCAGGACCCCGAGATCATGACCTGAGTTGAAGTCAGACTCATAACTGCTAAGCCACCCAGCTGCCCCAAATTCTTAAGTAAACTTTTGACTCAAGTATAACATAGTTATAAAAAATTACACAATCCCAAGTGTCCAACTCAATGAATTATCGTGAAGCAAAAATAACCCACGTAACAACATTCAGACCATGAAATGGAGCCCTGACATCCCAGAGGACCCTTGAGCCCCTCTACCCCCACTCTCAGCAAGGACAACCACCCTCCTTAACTCCAATTCGTTTTGTCTGGTTGTTAGCTTTATATAAAACAAATCATATAATATGCAGTCTTTTGTGTCTGGCTTCTTTTGCCCACCATCTTGTGAAATGGAAACGAAATCTAGATGTTGTTGGGCATGGTTCTGGCTTGTTCTCACTGCTGCGTAGTAGTCCACTGGGCAAATATACCATAATTTATTTTTTCCTTCTACTACTGAGGGAGATTTTGGTTATTTCCTGTTTTGGACTATTATAAATTGTGCTGCCATGAATCTTTTACAATATGTCTTTTGATAATACCGTGGTTTCCTTGGTTTTCTTCTGTATCCATCAGCTTTTCCTTTTCGGTTGGGTGTGTACCTGGAAACAGAGCTGCAGGACTAGAATGTGTGTCTTGGTTCTGAGCTGCTCATTTTCTTGAACTTCCTTTATGTCCTTCCTTTATTTCTTGAACTTCCTTGATTTACAGTCCTTTGGGACTTAGTTAAAGAAATTCTTCTTTGCTTCCTCCAGTTCCCTGGGGCACTACCAACCAAAGACCATTTTAAAGTTTCTCCAGATTACACAGGTGATATGAATGCAGAATACAACCTGCATGAGGCCTCATTTGCAGTAACAAATGTTGGGGGAATTTTTCTGCTCTCTCTCTCCCCAGAGCCATGCTGGAGATGGGCTGGTTTATTTGCTATTGTCTTCTGTGCAGTGGATTATGTCTCATTGACTGAGGGTTTCGGTTTCAGAGTGCCAGCTTTGCATGGCATATTCATATCCTAGGGCTGCCCTAACAAAGCACCACAAACTTGGTGGCTTAGAACAACAGAGACTTATTCTCTCACAGCTTTGGGGGCTAGAAGTTGAAAGTCAAGGTGTTGGCTGGGTTGGTTCCTTCTTTCTTACTTTATATTTTAAAAAAGATTTTATTTTTAAGTAACCTTTATATCCACTGTGGAGCTCAAACCTACAACCCCAAGATTAAGGGTTGCACGCTCTACCTACTGAACCAGCCAAGCGCCCCAGAGTTGGTTCCTTCTGATAGATCTGTGCCTCTCTCCCAGCTTCTGGAGAATGCCTGCAATCTCTGGTGCTCCTTTGCATGAAGACACAGCCCTCCGCCTCTGCCTCTGTCTTTACGTGGTGTGCTCCCCTGTGTCCCTGTATCTTCACATGGCTCTCTCTGTGTCCCTCCTCTCTCTGTGTCCCTCTCTTCATCTTCTAGGAACATCTGTATTGTGTTAAGGCTCTAACCTACTCCAGTATGATCTCATCTAGACTAATTCTCGTTGCAATGACCCTATTTCTAAATAAGGTCACATTCTGAGGTGGTGGAGTTAGGACTTCAAAATACCTTTATAGGGAGCAAAGTTCAACCCATAACACATGGGATCTCCTGTGAGACTGCTCACCGTGGGCAGTGGTAGGCTTTCCCCGATGAACACCCTGCCCTGGCCCTTGCCAAAGAGAAGCAGAAGTTCTCCAGGATTTGCCAGAAGCTTAGCAGGCAAAAGTCAGCTTTGCTTTCGCTTGCCTCACAGAGTTTCTGCTTTTACTTTATTTTGGCTTCTGTGGATTTCTTTCCTTATATCAAGTCAGCACTACAACTCAGAAAAATTTTTAAATGAACTTATGTTTCATCTCCCTTCCCCCCTCATTTCAATAAGGAACATGGCCTGGGAGCCCAGTTTGCCAACCCCATCACTGGTTTGTATCCATCCTTGTTCTCCTGACCCTGTGCCTCTGTTCTGGCAGGCCCTTCATGTGAGATGCTGCCCACCCCGACCAAACCCTGGGTCTCCCCCTAAGGTCCCTGGGTCTCCTCACTTCTCCTCTGCCTCACAGACCACCCCAAAGGGAGACCCTACCTCAAGGGTAGGGTCATCTCGCCTGGTCATAACTTAAGGGCATGGGACCTTGGAGCTAGATGCCTCAGGCAGACTACTGCCCCCCGCCCCAGCCTGGATTTTCCCCATGTGTAAAATGGGGACTTTGAAAAGCTATGTGAAACCCTGGGCACAATGAATGCTCAAGAAGGCCAGCTGTGTTCATCAAAGTGCACATGTTCTCAACTGGCCGGCAACCCACCCTCTTGGCGGGAGGGGTCCAATTAGGATTATTAGCAGATGGTGTCCTTGAAGAATAGAGTAGCTTAGGGAGGGTCCTCTGAGAGGGCACAATAAGAGGAGACCTCCCAGAGTCCCTCAAACACCCCCACACATGTCTGTGTCTCAGGGAACATCTACCATTATGTGCCCTGGTACAACACCAAGCCAGTCGTGGCTGTGACCTCCCAATGGGAAGACGTCAGCTTCCGCATGAACTGCCTCAACCTCCTCCACTTTACCCGGGACCGCCTGGTGAGTGGTACAGAAGGGTGCAGGCAGGGGGTTCTGCGCCGCTGCTGCCTGCCGATGGGAGGCTTGGGGAACTAAATCACAGTCCTAGGGAGCCAGTCACTCAAGTCACTCATGCATTCCACACCAAGGAAGACAGAAGCATAGAAGCATCAGGCACTGTGCTAGACAATGAAGATGGAAAGCTGCATAAACAGCGCCTAGCCTCCCCATCTGGGAACTTGGATATGCAAACAGCTACTGTAGGGAGTACCCAGAGCTATAGGGGCAGCGAGATTGGGGATGGAGGAGGGGAGCTGAAGAGAGGATAATCAGAGGAGGTGTTTGAAAAGGAGGTAACATTTGAGCAGAGTCTTGAATGATTTGCTGGGGCCGTGGTGGGGGTGCAGAGAAAGGAAGAGCTGGCAAATCCATGGTGACCTGAAGTTCCAGGACAGGAAGGGCATGGAGGTGATTCGGAAATAAAGCCAGAGAAACTGGAAGAGGTCAGATCACAAAAGATCTTACGCATCTGCTAAGAAGGGAAGTCACTGAACATTTTTAGGCAGGAGAGCCCCCTGCTGCCTCCACCTTAGATATGACTTTGTGCACCTATAGAAGCAAAGCCCTGGGTCCAGAATGTAACCGTTACAGTCCTGCCCTGTCCTGGCTCCTTCCTGCTGCTTACCCTGTTGGGTAGTGGAGAGGGTTGTGGGGATCATAGCCTTGCAAGGACATGTGATAGCTTTGGACTGACATCCTGAGGTTTCCCCAAAGGTCCCCAAGTCCTGACTGGTAACATCTCGGGCCGGTCAGCCCTGTAACCTCTCCTGGGTGAGCCTCCATATGCTCACTTTCTGTTTCTCTCCTGCTGGGCAGAAAGCCAATTTGGACACCCTGAAATCCATAAGGAATCCAAGAGACCCCGCTCTGCTCCCCCAGTGGGAGAAGCTGCTGAGGGAGCTGGTGGAGGACTGCAAGTAGGGGAGGAGCGTGCGCACCAGGGCTGGCGCTGAGCTGGTCAGGCTCCCATGGGGTGGGGGTGCAGACCAGCACCCTATAGAACAGCCCCCAACCCCCACCTCCTCAAGAAAAGAGCTCTGCTCAAATCTCTCCCCAGCTCAAAGCCCAAACCACAGAGTTGCTTCTCCTCCCCTGTTCAGGCCTTCCGGAAACTGGCACTGACCTCCCCACCCAGCCTGGTCCCAATTGTCCCTGTACCCACACCTGATGCTCCCACCAAACCAAACTTCTCACATCCCCCATGGTTGGGTTAGCCCCTATCTCCCAGCTCTCACCCAACTCCACAAGGAGCTCCTCAGCACAGGCCTGGCACACCGCATGGGGTTGAGGGGGGGGGCGGTGCATGAGAACCAGGGTCCAGGCCAGCAGGGGCAGGGCAGGATCTCGGGTCTAGGAAGTGCACGTTGGCCTAAGGCAGAGTGGGAGGTCCTGTGAGGTGAGGCGGAGAGGCCCAGCACCCTCCTTCCCGATCCTGGCCATAGACACCCTCTGCCCTGCATGGCCCATCAGCCCAGAGCCACCGAGCTGGACAAGAAGAGGTGGCAGCTCCGCAGCCGCCTCCTACAGGAACTGTCCCAAAAGGCCAAGGAAGTTAAGCCCAGGAACATGGTGGCCACCGTGGAGGACTGGCTGTACCGCCTCAACGCCGTTCTCCCTGAGGTGGGCACCGGACACACTGGCAGGGGAGGAGGACCTGAAGCCTGCCACGCAGGCCTGACGCCCTCCCACCTCGGCAGCCCCAGATGAGCCTCCCAGACGTGATGATCTGGCTTACGTCCAAGGAGCAGCGGGTGGCCTATGCACAGGTGCCTACCCACAGCATCCTGTTCTCCCCAACAGGGGCTCTGCACTCTGGCAGGTTCTGTGGGAAGACACAGACCCTCGTTCTGCAGGTGGGGAAGCCGAGCGTCCTTGGGCCACCCCACTCCTTAGGGGAGGAAAGGGCCCAGAAACACCCCAAGGGAGAAACCCTGAACTCTTAGGGCAAACTCCAGGGGTATCCCCAAGGGCACACCCACTTTGTCTGTCCTGGGCCCTTTAGCGGGTGAAATGGGGTTGAAACAGTCTCCAGAGGAAGGCAGGGGACAGCGGCCATCATCCCTCATAACTGTTCCTCAGATTCATCTCTTCCATCATCCTCACACCACAATTGGTCCAGTCCCTTGTCATCTCTCCCCTGGACCAGGATTGAGTGCTTTCCAAACATTTAATGCCTACAAGGCCTGGCCACCGGCCCGTCATATCAGATGCAGGCCATAAATAAGGGTGGTTGACCAGCACTATCACAGCCCCTCCTCTCACCCTTCCCCCCACTCAGGAGACAAGTGGGGGACACTCCCTTCCTCCCAGAGATGTCCTTCATTCCCCACTGCTTCCTGGAGAATGCCGGACCACCCTGGCCTGGCCCCAGCCCCTTCCCACTGCAGGCACCTTCTCAGGGCCCCATATTCTCTACAGCCAGGCTGCCCTGGGCTTCCCCACGCCCAAGCCTGCCTGCCCTGGGTCCTTTCCATTGTGGAAGGCCCCTTCGTATGCCCACTTTCTCATCCTGCAAGAACCACTGAGACTTGACTCCTGGCTCTACCACTTACTGGTCTGTTTGACCCCAGACCAACCCTTGACCATATCCAGGCCTCAGTCTTCTCCTCTGTAAAATGGGCCTGGTGAAAATGATGTGCAGCCCCATTCCCCGTGCCCCACCATGGAGGTGTGAGAGGATCCTAGCGTATCCTGCACATTCGGCATTTACTTGTCAACGTCACCACCATCACCACTTCCCTTTTGGAGCTTCCCCAGGCTCCCTGGGTGGCACCACCCCTCTTCCCACAAACCCCACCAGCCTCTCTGTGATGCATGGGGTTGCAGGTATAACCATGTGCGTATTAACTCCCTCTGAAAAGCAGGAACTCTGCAACATTCACTTTAAGCCCCAGCACCCAGGGCTCAGTGTGATGGAGCAGGTGTGTGTGCCCCTCCCTCACTCACTCACGCCCCTGCCCCCGGGGGACATGCACCCCTATGGGGTCGACCTGCTTCTGGTTTAGTACCCAAAAGGTGAAGGACAGGACATGCTGCCGGTACACCTCCGGGTCTGCATGTGGTTTGGCAACGTCTCGGACAGCAAGGATCTGCAGCTGCTGCGCGAGGGCGAGGTGGTCGTGTATGCGGAGACGGTGAGCAGTGCCCTGGTGCAGTGGGGGCGGGGAGGCGGGGTGGCAGCGGGTAGGGAGGCCAGGCTGCCGGAGCCCAGCACCAAAGGTAGAGAAAACCATCACCAGCAGAATCTGAGCATTATGAGGTGGGCTTTGATAAAGACAGGTGGCACTAGAGCAGCCTCCGATGTTGACAAGCCATGGGCATGTGGTGATAAAAGGGGCAGCTGGGTCGTCCCCTAGGGCCAGTCACTCTCTCCTTGATGGAGCTTTATTGGGAGTTTCTCCCAGTTACTTCAATGCATGTGAGGTGAGGTCTCATCTGTCGCCAACCTGGCAGCCTAGGACCCCTGCAGACTCCAGCGGGGTTGGGGGGCAGTTTTTCAGGCCGGTCTGGTGGTTCTGGGGAGGGAGGGGCCTGGAACATTCAGAGCAAGAAGTGAGGCATCTTCCCGGAGAACCACAGATGCATGGGGTGGGTGGGCAGCCAGTCAGAGACTGCTCTAGAACTAGAGGAGGGAAAGATGACCCTTGCTGCCCTGGGGGAGGACATGGCACGGGAGAAAGCTGAGAGCAGAGGGAAAGGAGTTCAAGAATTTTCAGCTTTTTAATTTACTGAGTCAAAAACTTATTTTTGTGGTTCCTAAGTTGCACACTGTGAATGGATATATTTACATGAGTAACCAGCCCCAACATAGGCTTGGAGATGTGAGATGAGAGGGGATCTAGAATGAGGTGCAGGTATCAGGGGCTGCGTGTCCAGCAGGGGAGTGTGGGGAAAAGGGCTCAGAGGCAGAAAAGATGTGATGAGTGGTGGAGCAGCACTAGGTTCCCCGGGTCAGCAGCGACAAGGCTAATGGACCACACTGTAGCACCCTCTGCCCCAGGTTCTAACACAGGCATCCGCCAGCTCTACCCTTCAGTGGTTAAGCACCCTGGGGTAGAGTTGACCTCTGAGCCTCAGTCTCCCCCCTTGTGAAATGGGATCGTGAGGATTACAGGAGACAGTTCATGTAAAACCTCAAGCATGGGCCTGGCTGGAGGGGAGGGTTTGATGATAAGCCCCTGGCCCCCTCTGCCTAACACACTTCTAAGAGGCCCCTGCAGACCAGAGTAAGGGGTCCAAGGAGGGACCGGATGTCCCAATGTGAGCTGGGGAGGCCGCAAGCTGCTGAGAGCTGCCCCTCCCCTAGTACGAGAACCAGGCCAAGTATAAAGACCAGTGGGGACAGCAGGGGCTATACCACTGCCCCAACTTCTCGGACGTCATGGGCCACAAGGCCCTCCCCAAGGAGGATTTCCAGGCACCCCAAGGATGGCACTGGCAGGGGCAGTGGACAGTGGAGCCTCAGAGGAGGTAAGGCAAGGGGGCAAGCCTAGAGCCTGTGTGCCCCTGGGGTGGACTGTTCTTTTCACCTGGGAGAGCCAGTTAACCACAGCTCGGGGAGGTGGGCACATGGCCATTGTAGCCTGCTCCCAGAGGCTGGGATGCCCAAGAGGAAGGGCCCCACCACCCTACCCTGGAGGCCAAGCCCCATGGCCCAGCCTTGCCCAGAGCAGGCTGCCAGGTAGGGGAACACTGGGCCAGCAGAGGACAACCCGGGAGCCTGAAAGTTCGGGGAGATGTGCTGGAAACTTGGGGTCTCGCTGCCCCCAGACTCCTCCTGGACGTAGACATCAACAAGAGCCAGGTGCTAGAGGAGGTGTATGAGAACCAGTGTCGTGACACCACGGGGGCCTGGGTGCAGGCAGCCATCCCAAACACGGACATGGTAAGCAGGGGCCAAAGCTGTCTTGGGGGACAAGCAGTGCATGCACGTGGGCACCTTGGAAGCTGGGTTGTCTGAGTGGGAAGAGCACCGGACCAAGGGTTACCTCTGAGCCCCCACATGCTGCGCAGGAGCCTGAATGCGCACTGATGGCATTAGTATCCCAAGGGGGCAGGTAGAGGTACCTTCAAGAAGACTATAAGGGACAAGATAGGGAGCAGTGTTTCCTTCCTAGGCTTCTTCCAAAGGTAGGGCTTACTCAGGAGAGAATCTGTCTGGGGCTAGTCTAAGCCCACACCATCTGAAAGAACTTCCTATGATGATGGAAATGTTCTATGTCTGCACTGTCCATCTACCCAGTGGCTAGCAAGTACCTGAAATGTGGTACTTGTGAGAGTGAGGAACTGAACTTTGGCTTTCATTTCATTTTATTTATTTTTTTATTTTTTTAAAGATTTTATTTGTTTATTTGAGAGAGAGAGCGAGCATGACCAGGAGGGAGGGACGGAGGCAGACTCCCCACCAAGCAGGGAGCCCAACACGGGACTCGATCCCAGGACCCTGGGATCATGGCCTGAGCCGAAGGCAGATGCTTAACCCACTGAGCCGCCCAGGCGCCCAATTTTGTTTCATTTTAATTAGCTTACACTGAAGTGGCCCCAGGAGGTTGGTGGCTACTGTGTGTCGGACAGTGCGGGTCAAACCCATCTCTCGGGCATACTATCCTCCCCTCCTCAACAAGGACAGAGTGGGTGTGGGCAGGTGGCAGCATCTAGCTGAGATCAGTCACACTGTTCCCCTTTCACAATCATTAGTATGGGTATTCCCTATTTATGGTACTGATTTGCCACTGATAGTGGCTATAATTAAGTTTCCTTTTAAAAATATGTTTACTGGGGGGTGCCTGGGTGGCTCAGTGGGTTAAGCCTCTGCCTTCAGCTCAGGTCATGATCCCAGGGTGCTGGGATCGAGTCCCACATCGGGCTCTCTGCTCAGCGGGAAGCCTGCTTCCTCCTCTCTCTCTGCCTACTTGTGATCTCTCTGTCCAATAAATAAATAACATCTTTTAAAAAAATAAAATAAAATAAAAATAAATAAATAAAAATACGTTTACTGGGGCGCCTGGGCAGCTCAGTCATTAGGCATCTGCCTTCGGCTCAGGTCATGATCCTAGGGTCCTGGGATTGAGCCCCACATCAGGCTCCCTGCTCAGCGAGAGGTCTGCTTCTCCCTCTTCTGGTCCCCCTGCTTGTGCGCGCGCTCTCTCTCTCCCTCTGACAAATAAATAAAATAATAAAAAAAAAATTTACTGGGGCGCCTGGGTGGCTCAGTGGGTTAAGCCGCTGCCTTCGGCTCAGGTCATGATCTCAGAGTCCTGGGATCGAGCCCCGCATCGGGCTCTCTGCTCGGCAGGGAGCCTGCTTCCTCCTCTCTCTCTGCCTGCCTCTCTCCCTACTTGTGATCTCTCTGTCAAATAAATAAATAAAATCTTTAAAAAAAAAAAAAATTTACTAAGGGTGCCTGGGTGGCTCAGTTGGTCTCCCTGCTCGGTGGTCTCCCTGCATCCTGCTTCTCTCTCTCCCTCTCCCCCTGCTTGTGTGCATGCCCTCCCTCTCTGTCAAATAAATAAAATAAAATCTTTAAAAATATATATATTTACCATTTGAAAAGGCAAGTCAGTACAGCACGCTGAGTGGATAGGTGGGTGGCATCAGAAGTAGCAAGCACTGTCTGCTCCAGGGGGCAGAAGGCACCACACCACGGTGGTTGAGGGAGTGAAGATGGCCTCCCAGCTCAGATGCCCCCAGCCTGCCCTGTCTATCCACCCTCAGAACGGAGAGCCCGTGGAGGCCCGGGAGAATGTGCAGTGTCCCCGAGGCTGGCATGTTAAGGAGAGCTGGATCGTGGAGCTGAACCATGCAGTGGACAGTGAGGGTCAGTCCTCTGGGCGCAGGCAGAGGGAAGGAGGCCCTGGAGCTGCCAGGGACTGACACTTCCCACAGCCTCAAAGCAACCGAGCTCTCAGGTGGGATGGGCCTGAATTTCCAGGGGTCGCCCAACCTCTGGACAGTGGGGTCTCCACCCTTTCTACAGACACGGGCCCCAGCTTTCAGACAGGGCAGGTTGTAAGTGCTTCCTGAGCAAGTTCTAGAAAGGGGAAAATGGTCAGGGAGCCTGGGTTCACCTGCCGTAGTAGCTCCAGGCAAAGAGTGATGGGCTGGAAGTCCAAAGTCCTGGGCTCAAGACGTTGACTCCACTACATATGGGCTGGGTGACCTTGTGTGGGTCACAGGACGTCTCTGAGCCCTGCCTTCCTCATTTGTAAGATGGGTGGTTGGGCCCAAGTATACCATCCTTTCTCACACCTCAGGGCCCGAGACACCTAAACAGGAGGGAAAGCCTTTCCCCGTTAGCCCGCCTTCTGGGGCCCATTTTTCAGGTATGTCCATACCTCCCAGCCCGTGGGCACCTGGGCACCCACAGGCTGTGGCCCTGCCCCTGCAGGCTGGGAATACGGAGTGGGGATTGAGCCGTCGGGCCAGCCTCGGGTCTGGAACTCAGTGGAAAAGACCTACTACTCGTGCCGCCGGCGGCGCTGGGTACGTGTGCGCTGCCGGAACCACGGGAAGCTGAGCCTAGAGGAGGAGACCCTCTCCTTCCTGCAGCTGGTGAGAGGGCTGCCTGGGTGGGTGCCATCGCCCACACCTCATGCCATGGCGGGAAGGTGACATTCTGCTCCCCTCCCCGCAGCACCACCCCATCCCAGCCAAGGATGAGGAGGGCTGGGAGTATGGGACCTTCGGCTCCAAGTTCCACCTGAACCCTCAACCCCAGAGCCAGTTCCGCCGCCGCTGCTGGCACCGCAGGATGGTCCCGAACAAGGACAAGGGCATTGCACCCATATTCCTCCTGGAGGGATCCTTGGTAAAGCCTCTGTGGTCTAGGTGACTCCTCCTTGCAACCCCACCTCCCAGAGCTGGGGCCCAGCCTTGGGTGTGGCAGACAGCAGAGGACAAACCATGATTGGGGCACTGACAGCTGAGGGATGGGAGAGAGTGTGCCCCAGGTCCACACCCTTGGGCTAGAAGGGAAGGGTGACCTGGGCCTGCACTGGGGGAGACAAGAAAAGCACCCAAGAACCTCAGGGAGAATGTCCTGGGCACAGGGTATGGATCTGAAAGAGAAGGGAAGGAAGGAAGAGAACAAGAGGCTGACACCTGCTACAGATAAAACGATCAGGAGCTCCTGGAGGCCTGCCCCAGAGGATATCCAGCTACATGCCCTACCCTTCATCTACTGCATCTTCAACAGTGAGCTTTGAGAGTCTGCTCAGGTGGCCCCAGGGACCCTGCATCTGAGGACAGGCAGTGGGGAGGGGCTGGGGCGGGGATCCTGGGGGCAGGTGATGGACAAAGCTCCTCTCTTACCCAGAGCCCCACTACTACCAGCTTTTCTGCTACATCTACCAGGCCCGGAACCTAATGTCCAACCAGATGCAGACATTCCAGGGTAGGCTACAGGCACCCTTTTCTCCCCCAAGCTCCTGGGGACCCCTGAGGTAGCCACCTAGCAGCATAAAAAATATGACAAGGAAGGGGATGACACTCATGCAAACCCCCCTCCCCAGCAACTGAGGGCCCTGGCTTGGAGAAAAGATAAAAACAAGGAGTATAACGTGGGGCTGTTCTTGAGAGGTGTGCCCAAAACTGTGCAATCAAGAAGGAGGTGCTGGGGAGGCTTCACCCTGTGGGGACCACTTAGCTAGGCCTTGAAGAGGGAAGAGGAGTTTTGTGGCAGAGGACTAATGAGACAGGAAGACAAAAGAAAGGGTGACCCACGGTGGGACCGCATGTACCTTATCTCAGAAGCTGACAGAAGGGGTTGGGGAGGAGGTGTGGCGATTTGCAGCCCTGGGCACGAGGACCCAGTGAAGCTTTCAGGAGAGTCATGTGCTCCTATCCGTAGCACTGTTTGTGAGAAGCAGGTTGCCAGGTGAGGCTCTGGGCTGGGGCTGTGGGTGTCTGCCGGGAGCTGTGTCCACTGGGCATCAGCATCCACATACAGAAGGCCACAGGACATCCCCTGACGCCACAGCCGATGCTGTGAAAGGACACGCTGTTGCTGTGGAAGGACAGCCACATGTAGCTGCTCCTCAGATCTCCTCCAGAGGAGCCGTGGGGCTTCTACCCCTGTGACACTAGACCTCGACCAGGCGGTGTAGAGAGATGTGGCTGGAGCCAAATGGTCCCCGCTGTTCACTCTGCAGCTTGCACTGTGGTGGCCTTCTGGGCAGCTGTCCAGGGCTGTGGCCGCCCAGCCTGGGCTTCCCTGGATCTCTAGTCCAGTGGTGGCAGCTGCCAGAGAGGAGCGCCTCACTTGAGGGCTCAGTGGCAGGACCCTCTCCTCTCCTTCTACCCACCCCGCAGTGCCCTTCATTCGGTTGGTCTTCTTGAACCATAGCCAGTGCACCCAAACCCTGAAGAGCTCTGCAGCCCCAACGTGGGCCCAGACACTCATTTTCCAGCACCTGCTTCTGTACGAGAACCCTGAAGACACCAAAGCAAGCCCTCCACTCGTGGTCTTAGAACTGTGGCAGCAGAACGCTCAGGTAAGGTGGGCTAGACTGGACAGAGTGGCTCAGTTTTTATTTTAGAGGAGAATATACCAAATGTATTCCGGGGGGAGCCTGATTCGTGGAGAGCATCACGTCAACAGAAATGCCAGCCCTTAACCAAGAGTTCTTGGCACCCTGGGGGAGGGGCCGGAACCCTGCCAGCTTGGCCTGTGTTTGGTGAACTTCCCCTTCCCTATAGGGAAAGGAGAGCTTGTGGGCCCGGAGCATGTGGTCCCCGGTGGTCTGGCTGGATGTCCAAAAACGGACCCTGCCCCCTCTGAGGTGGCACCCCCTTGTAAAATTGCTAGGGGAGAAAGAGGGTGAGATCCTGGTGTCCTGTGAGCTGATCCTTGAGACTGAGGTATGGACTGGGGGGTTGAGGTGCTCGGGGGCCCCCACCCTGCCCCACTCCCCTGCCTCAAGTTCCCACAACCAGCAAGTCCCCAGCTCAACCCACTGAGGGAAGGCCTGGGGCCTGGAGCCAGCACACTGGGCTTGGCGATGCCTGCCTGCTGCTGCCACCGGGCTCCAGAGCCGCCTCCCTGGAGCCCTGCTAGGGACTTGAATTGGGGGTGGGGGTTTAGGAGGATGGGCCAACTACGGCCTCACACACCTTGCTTTCCCACCTCACCCCTTCAGAGTGTCAAAGAGAGGCCGCCAATCTTAAGTGTTCCCTGGAAGAACGGAGTCTACACACTCCCCAAGAGCATCCAGCCGACACTAAAGAAAATGGCTGTGGAGGTGATGAGGGTATGGGGAGGAGAGGGCGGGCACCCCCCAGAGCAGTCGGGCACCGTGGGGCTCTCCCTGCAGACTCTCCTTGGGCCCTCCTGACTATCTGAGGCAAAGCTCGGACCCCAAAAAGACACTGTCTGAGAGATGGAGGGAGACAGGAGAGACATGAAGAGCAGAAGCTATGCTAGAGTACCTTAAACTGTCTTAATGCAGAGCTCTATGGTGGGTCATAGACAAAAGGCTTTCGTGTTCACCATCTCACTTGAGCCCTTCCTGCCCCTCTGCAGTAGGGGCCACTTTCAGACAAGAAAACTGAGCCTCTGAGAAACAAACTAGCCCAGGCACCATGACACAGGGGTAAGTGGCAGAGCCAGAATCTGGGCCTGGCCCTGCCTGCCTCCAAATGCCAGTATGTTTCTCACCTATCTTTTGACAGTCGCCTGGAGGTCCCCACACGGAACTTTTGTGCTCTGCCATGAATCTGGCAAAGAGCAAAAGATGGTCAGGTCCTCCTGGCCCTGGAGATGCCCCCTAAGATCAGGCAACCCCACTCTGGTCCCCTGAACAGGCTTCCGTGATTAAAAGCATGGACATTTGCTGGGGTTCCCAGTGTCTGTCTGTTGAGCGCACTGAACGACCATGGAGTTCTATGGGATCCAAGTCGGCAATGAGCTAAATGGCAACAAGGATACCCAAGGAATCTGAGTTACCCCCTACTTCTGTGGGCCCTCAAGGCAGCCAGCCTCAGGAACTCCCTCCTGAAGACTGCAAGCCAAACAAAGCAGCAGGGGAGGAAGGGCAATACCTCAAGGGCCCTGGAGGCCAGTGAAGGATAGTCACAGTAGCCAGAGGGCACTCCCTCACGGAGGCCTTGAGGACAAGCACTGATCCCTCATGGGACAGGACACCTGTGCTAGCCTTCAGACTCTGACTTCATCCAGCTCATTTCCTGGCCCCAGATGTTACCTGATGCACCATCACTCCCAGGACAGCTCCCTCTCTGGCCAGGACCCCATTAGAGGCCCCAGCTGCTGCTTGCCCTGCCCCTCCTCTGTTCCGGCAGATTCTGGTCTGGGGCCTTCGGAACATGAAGCAGGTGCGTTCCCCCCAGCTCCTGGTAGAATGCTGGGAAGAGTCCCTGCAGACAGAGCCCATCAAGGACTTCCAGACCAACCCTAACTTCATGCAGTCAGTCCTTTTCCTCACGCTGGTAAGGTGGCCTCGGGCAGAGCAGGGGCTGGGGCAGCCCTTTCCTTCCAGGAGGCCTCATGCTCCGCCTTGCCTTGGCGCTGTAGTTCATCCCCACAGAGGAGGTCTATGCGCCACCCCTCACATTGAAGGTGGTGGACAATCAGGACTTCGGCCAGCAGACCGTGGTGGGTCAGGCCAACATCCACTCCCTACAACCCTACTTCTGCGACCCCTGGGCTGAGGACTACGTGCCTCCACAGCTCCCAAGTACGGTCCTTTCACCCTGCCCTTCCCCAGGCCTCACCTTCAAGCTGGCACTGGGAGTGGGGGTGGACCTGGCTGCCCTCTGGGCTGGTGTTCCTCCCCCTCACTCTTCTCTCTCTCCTGAGATTCATGATTGCTCTCTCTCCACACAGTGCTGTCTGTGAACAAGTACCAGAAGGTGAGTTAAGGGCTCAGGGTCTCCACCTTCTCCCATGCCATCTACAGGGGACAACCCTTGTCCCCAAGCAGGGGTGGAGATAAAACAGAGCTCTGGTATGTGTGTTCCTGGTGTACATGAGAACCCTAAAGCTGTGATTCTCCACCTGGACTGTACATTAGAACCGTCTGAGAGTTTAAAGAAATCCTGATGGCCAGGCCACTGACCTGTCCCATTAGGATTGCTGGGGAAGCCCCAGGCATCAGCAGTGTCTCCAAGGCCCCCACCTCCTCCCCGGTGATTCCAGTGTTTCCAAGGTTCAGAACTACCCCTCAAGAGCAGCACTTGTCAAAGTGAATGCACAGGAATCCTGGGGACATCTTGAGCAAAAGCAGGTTCTGATTTAGTAAGACTGGGGTTCTGCATTTCCGGGCCCTTCCAGAGTTCTGTCTGTAGCTGAGGCCCATGAGGGTAAGAACTAAGTTTATCCTCCTCCTGGTTCCATGTGTGCCAATCCCTGAGTTGAAAGGGCTCTGGGAAGAGCCAGGGAGCCAGGAAAGGAAGCCCTGCCTTCCATCCCTTTCTCCTGGGGGGTCAGAGACAGTGAGCAGACTAGGTCGGCATGTTGTGCCTCACCTTGCTCTCCTGCTCTCATTTTTCAGCTCCTAGATTACTTCTATGAAAAGTTCTGGATCAGTCCCAGCAAAGCTCAGGTGATGCAGGCTCAGCCCCAGGGAACAAGGAACCACTCTGGGCAGCTCAGGGAGGCGGTGGGTGCAGCATGACCCTGGGCAGGGGAGGGCTCTGGTGCCTTCTCCCCAAGGACCAGAATGACCTTCCCTGCCAGGATCAGTACCAGCATGAAGTGGACTGGTGGAGCAAGCTATTCTGGGCCACAGGAGATTCGAAGGCCCTGCAGTACAAGTACAAAGACTATCATACCCTGAAGGTTTGGAGATCTCTGGGAGGGGAGACTGCTGAGACACAGAATGAAATCTGCTGGGGGAGACCAGTAGACCTCGCCCTGATGCCTCTAGGAATGACAGGGTCGGGGGTGGGGGGGTAGTTTCCTCCTTGTCTCCCCAAGACTACAGGCCACACCTCCATCAGACATGCCCTTTGGGGAACCAGAGCTGCCCCATCTACAGCAGTCAGTGCTGACTCTCGGGCCACTGACTGGGTAAACACTTCAAAGCGAGACCCAGGAACTGGTGATCCCTCAACCCCCTGACAGCAGGAATGGTCCTCCCTCAGCTGAACCCAGGCCTGCTCTCCCCACTGGCCTGGACCCCACACACCCCCTGCAGGTGTATGACTGTGAGCTGGAAGCCGTGCCTGCCTTTGAAGGCCTGCAGGACTTCTGCCAGACCTTCAGACTCTACCAAGAAGAGCCCAAGCTGGACAGCCCTGTGGTAGGGGAGTTCAAGGTACGTGTTCACTTCCATGGAGCTACCTGTCTCCCATGCCCCTTCCGTCCCCCAGAAGATTCTAATCAAAGCCCTGGCTCTCTATGCTCATGGTGGGGATGGTGTAGGGAAGGCTTGAAAAACAGTTTGGGGAGCAGGGGATAAAAGGCTGACCAATGCAGGGGTTCGGAGTGACCTCCCCCTTTACACGGGCTAGGCAGGGCCCTTCTCAATCCAGCTCGGGCCTACGCAGGTCTCCCAAGGCCCAAGAGCCTTAGAGAACAAGTTCCAGCCTGAAGGGATGGACGGGGGGTGGAATGAGAGTCTGTGTCAGCAGAAACTGGAAGCCCACCTAACCACCATAGTTGTCAGCCCAACATAACCCCCCAAACCTGCTGTTCCCACAGAGCGTCTCTGCTGCGCCCCTCTCTCCCATCCTCGGTGCAGCATACTCTCTCGGGAGATTTGGCCAGGGGCACCGCCTCAACACCTTCCTTCCCCAACACACACACAGGGCCTTTTCCGCGTCTACCCCTTTCCTGAGGATCCAAAAGCCCCCAAGCCCCCCCGCCAGTTCTTGGTTTGGCACAACAAAGAGGACTTCCCTCAGGAGTGCTTGGTGCGCGTGTACATGGTTCGAGCCATCAACCTGCAGCCCCAAGATTCCAATGGCCTGGTAATCAGCAGCCCCAGCCCTGTGGTGTCCCTCATCTCCAGGACCACCCAACCCGGGTGCCTCCCAAACCTTGCGTCAAGGTCCTGGGGCTCCCTCAGGCTGATACCCAGATGGTCAATTCCCCACAGGCTCCCCCGTTGACAGGAACTCATTTCCAGTCCATTCCCCACCCTCCCCAACCAACCTGGACTGACTCTCCATTTCCTGTTGCCTTTCCCTCACTATGACTGAACCCCAGTGTGACCCTTATGTGATCCTGAAACTGGGACAGACAACGATGGGCAACCGGGACAAGTACTACCCCAACACTCTGAATCCCATCTTCGGCATGTGAGCTGCCCCAACTTTACCCGATCCCACTTCACCACACCCTCACACCCTCCCACGCTGGGTAGGAGTAAGCTCCAGAAGGCGAAGACTTCTTCCATTTCTCTCTAACCTCTGAGTTCCTAACATGGGGTCTTACACACACTCGGGGCTGGACAGATGGAAGGGTGGTCAGTTCTATTCTCCCTCTCAAATGCTTCACCTGGGAAAGGAGTTCAGGGTCCCATAAGCCAGGCCTGTCAAAAGTTATTTCTAGCCAACCCTGGGGGATAGTTCTTGGCAGTCAACAGCCACCCCAGGCTCTGTTTTCCATATTCACCATGACCAAACATGGGGCTGTGAAGCTGGACAGGGAGGCCTGCGGACAGCACAGTCCACAGTCTCCCAACACCCTCACCCCCAGTATGTTTGAACTGAGCTGCACCATCCCCCTGGAGAAGGACCTAGAGATCCAGCTATATGACTTTGACCTGTTCTCACCTGATGAAAAGATTGGAACCACAGTCATTGACCTCGAAAACCGACTCCTGTCTGGTTTTGGCGCCCGTTGTGGGCTCTCCAAATCCTACTGCTAGTGAGTGGACCTGAAGCCGGGCAAGAGAGTAGGGGAGGGGTGGAGGAGGGAGGCCCCAGCTCCCTTAGGAGGAGACTTGCATCTGGGAAACTAGGGCCTGAACCTGGCTCCACTCATGCCTCCCCCGCCCCCGCTCATCTGCAGCTCAAAGCAGAATGTTCTCTGGGATGCAAACCTTCCCACCTTTTCCTCTCCCTTAATTCCACAGCGCAGGGCCCTTTAGGTGGCGGGATCAGATGACCCCAAGCTTCCTCCTGGAACGCCATGCCAAACAGAAAGGGTTGCCTCCGCCTTTGTTCAGTCCTGAAGAGGACACTGTTTTTTACAATGGGAAAAAATTCAAACTGCAAAGCTTCGGTGAGAAGTACAGCACACTGTCAGAAGGCACAGATCCAGGCCTCTGCAACCAGAGGGCACCTGCCCCATTTTGCCCTTTCTTCCTATAGAGGGCAACCAGGTCCACTGTCCAGGCTGGGGGTAGGGGACAGGAGGGCAGCTGGGAGATGGGAAGGCTCATGATGTTGTGACCACCTCCTTCCACTTCCTTCCATCTAGAGCCCACGCCCCCTCCTGTTCATTACTTGGGACCTAAGAAAGAACGCCTTGCCCTGTACCTCCTGCACACCCAGGGGCTGGTGCCTGAGCATGTGGAGACCCGCACATTGTACAGCAATAGCCAGCCAGGCATCGACCAGGTAGGAGACCAGAGGGGGCTAGATTAGGAGACAAGGGAGCCCAGCCATCCAAGATGCAGCCCAGGACGAGAAGACCATGCATTCACAGCCATACATGCACGGAACCCCAGCATGTTCTACACATGTTCAAAGTGAGACAGTCTAATGATGTCCCTTAGAATGGAGAAATTCAGAACTGTAAAAGTCATCTACAAGAAACCTGGGCCCCCCATATCCGTTAGTGGAAAGGCCAAGGTGCCCTACCAGCCAGCACCAACACTGCCTTAGTCTCTCCTGAGGGAGGGCAGGGGAAGTAGCACCTGGGTCAGATGTGCAGACATTACAGCTCTGGTTGGCCTGTTAATTGCAGGCTGTGTTTTCTCCATAGCAAGGAACCCCAAACAGAATAAAAATCCCCACGGGCACCCTAATTATCTACCCTCCAGTCACCAGAAGGGCTCATCTCATTCTCCAAATTTCTCAAGCTGATACCACATTCCAGACACTTGAGTTCTCCGCTGAGCACTTTTTAAACCATTCTCATTAAACCTGTTTTCCTATGTGGGGTCAACTTCAAAAGGATAAAATGAGGTCAGACAGTTTGAAGAAATAGATGTATCTACCTTCCAATTTTGGTAGTCTACTCTTTTCTTTTGTTTCTCACCATTTTTCATCCCTCCTTTCTTAGACCACTGTGCTTGATGGGCAGCTTAATATCCTTAAGCTGGGCTTCCACAACATATGGCGACCTGGACATTTGGTCATCTAGTTTGCTCTTACTCAGGGCCACTAAGCTGGTTAAGAAGTGAAGCCCCAAGCCCCCCATGGAGCCCTGTCCAGAGGGGCTGTCTAGCATGGCCTGATAAAGGGTATTCACCCTCCAGACCCGGTCACGAGTGACATCCCATCGCCATGCCATCTGTTTTGAATCCATCATACACTGTCCATCTCACCCTGCACCCTTCTTCCAGCCAACACGAGAAAAATGGGAAGCTGGTGGGCGGTTAATAGACTTCCTATCCGAAATCCACTCCATCTCACCGATAACTCCTCACTCCACCCTCCAGTTGTGGGGACCCAGCCTCAAGAGATCTCAAAACCTGGGACGGGGCTCAGAGGCCAGTGTGCTGAGAACAGAGGTTAGCAACTCCCAGCTGTCCAATCCATTTCCACTCTAGGGAAAGGTGCAAATGTGGGTGGACATCTTCCCCAAGAAGCTTGGGCCTCCTGGCCCCCCAGTCAACATCAAGCCCAGAAAGCCTAAAAGGTGAGTGACCCACCACATCCATTGCTGCACTTCCCCAGGCACTGGCCACGGGTGTGCAATTCTTTTCCTCTCCCGGGAATCCCGGGAGCTTCCTTCCCCTGCATTCCCCCAAACTGGCATGCCTCGATTGGGCATGGAGGGCACCACGGCCGCAGCTGGGGAGCTACTCCTCAGCAAAGCCTCAGAGCCCACCGGCTGCAGGTATGAGCTGCGCTGCATTGTCTGGAAAACTGCCCAAGTGGACCTGAGGAGAAGTTTAACCACCGGGATGAGCGACATCTATGTCAAAGGGTGAGGAAGAGAGCAGGGCTCCAGCAGCATTCCCTCTGAGGTCCCCAGTTGTCTCATCCCTGAGCCTCTGCCCACGATCCTGGGGCATCATCTCTCCACCCCCACCTGTGCCTGGTGGTCTGCCAGGGAGCCCCTCCCACAGGGCTCCAACTCAGGGACAGGGACAATACACATGAAGCCCAGGTGAAAGGACTCTGGCCCCAGGTGGTTAGCTGGGCTCGAGAAGGACATGCAGAAGACGGATATCCACTACCACTCTCTGACTGGGGAGAGCAACTTCAACTGGCGGTTCATCTTCACCATGGACTACCTGGCAGCTGAGCGTATGTGTGTCCAGAGTCAGAAGGTAACAGGCCATGTGGTGGGAGGGTGGGGCGTGCTCCCCCTTCAGCTCCCTCGAACCACAATCCACCCCAGAACCCTTGGAATGTGGCCTTGAGGAGAAAGCTTCTTCCTTGACAGTCCATCACCACGAGGTGGTGGGCTACTGAGGTGGCAGAGGGAAATCTCAAAGGAGACAGGTCAGTCACATGGTTTCTGTCATCCCCCAGGACTACATATGGAGCCTGGACCCCACCGTGATGAAGTTCCCAGCCCGGCTTATCATCCAGATCTGGGACAATAACACCTTCTCCACAGATGACTTCCTAGGTGGGATCCGGCCCAGGGCCCGCGACCACAGGGCAGGGAGCTCCTCCTTGCTGACACCATTTCTTTGGCTCAGGGGTCCTGGAGCTGGATTTGTTTGACATGCCCCTCCCGACCCGGCACGCCAACCTGTGCTCCATCAGGATGATGGAGACTGACTCCAAGTGGCCCTACTTCCTCCAGTATAAGCACTTCTCCCTCTTTAAGAAGAAGACCATAACGGGCTGGTGGCCTGCCCAGGTCCTCGATGGTGGCAAATGGCACATGTCGGTAGGAGCTGGGGAGGGTGTCTGTTGCATAGGACTGCTATGCCACATAACTTGGCTCTAACAGACTTCTGGGGACCTTAGCTAAATTCCTTTTCCTTTCTGGGCCCTGGGAAGGGGCCTTAAACACACACACACACACACACACACACAAAAAACTATCCTCACATCTGCTATAATGAACTCAGCCTCCCACCGCCTATGGTGTTTCTAGGGTAAAGTGAAGATGACGCTGGAGATTCTGTCCAAGAAGGAAGCCTTAATCAAGCCAGCAGGGCGAGGCCAATCAGAACCCAATCAATACCCTACACTTCATCCTCCCCTGTAAGAGCCTGCGGGACAAAGGCACCAAATCCTTCCTCCTCATTCCCACAGCTGAGCTGCTGGGCCCAGAAATTTGTATGGGGTGGTGAGCAGTGGGCCTACAAGTGGAGAGGGATCATTACTCCCCAACATCCCACCTCAGTTACGAGGAGGAGAGAACAGCCTGGGGGAAAGGGGTGGGGGGGGGTACACACAAGCAAGCAAAAGTTGCTTTTTAAAAAAGAAAGCTCTTTGCTGCGATTACTTGACCTGAAGGTTCCCTCTGTGCCTCCATCCTCTGACATCTCCTCTGCTCATGCACAGACGCCCCAACACCTTGCTCATATTGCGGTCACCTGTGACAATCTTCTGTCGCATTTTCTGGAAACGCTACCACTTCAAAATCATCATCGGTGCAATCATATTTATTATAGCACTTATGCTGTTCAACTTTATCTACTCTGCCCCGGTGAGTGACCACCTTGGGGAGAGGGACAAAGGCACTAGTTGCTCTTGGTAGGACTCTGAAGAGACAGCCTCAAGTCGCTCCCTCAGGCTAACTGTCACCTGTTCTCTCTAGAACTACTTGGCCATGAGCTGGATCAAACCTGAACTTCGGCTGAATGCTCCCATTAAAACACCCACCAATATCATGAATCCCCCAAGCAGCAGCAACGCCCACTCTTCCATCCTCACCAGCCAGCATCAGAACCTAAATTCTACAATAGACCATGAGCTGAAACTCCTCCAGGGACCTATGAATCGCCTACAAGACATTTTTCCAGAACTTCCAGCCCCACAAGACTAATTAGTCCATGTCTGCCTGGCTTTTCTCCGGCCCATCATTGGCCCTACCCTTTCGCTTCCTACTAGTTCTCATTTCTATCTTCTAGGACATAGGGGGCTTCTGGGACATATGCAATGAGGGGCATGTTCTGTTCGGAAACCACTTCCAACAAGAACAGAGTTGTTGTCATTTTCCCACTGAAGTAAACACATTTTGTCACAGAGAGCTACCCTGTAATTTAAGGGAGTTGAAGAAACCATGAAAGCAAGACTCACAAGGACAGGGAACATCATCTTTATATAACACCTCTAGTCCTCAGGGTCTCTTCTTCTCTAAGAGGCTCTGAAGAAAGAGGGAAACCAAAGGAATGGGGGACTGTGAGGAGAGCAATGGCTCACGTGGGGGTAAGCAGCTTGCCAAGGCCTCTGCTCTGACCCCTACTGTGCATGTACAAAGTCTCTCCCTCCTCTAGGGCACACCTGGGATTCGAGGGCCCAGAACAGTATTTGGTCCCATTCACAATGGGAAATACTTGTTTCTAAGAACAAAAAGCAAGCACTATGGCAGGACCGACCACGCTAGGTTTCTTTGCATCACACATTTCAAAGGCTGGCCCTGGGCTGGGTGGGGACTGTACTTTATGTCTTCCCCATCCTCTTTCAAAAGCCACAAGGAGCCCATGAGCTGGAATCACACAGAACTCATCAACTCAATCATCACGCACACACATACCCTCCCCCATCATGAGACCCCTTCCTCCTGCACCACTGCCTGGGTCATCTCAAGAGCCCACCGAGGTCCCCCCACCACAAGGGTCTAGCCAATCTCGCCCTGCCCTCAAAAAAAGACAAAACAGCCCTCTGTTTTGTCAGTTCTAAGTGGTGCTGAGGCCAAGCTCCAGGTCCCAGCTTGTGCCCTGGTACCCCGGAGCTGCTCTGCTTTTGTGGGGAAGATTTGGGAGGATCCCACTTTAGTGGCACTTCAGGAGAGCACTACAGCCTGTGATGCTCACTTAAGCACATGCGAGGGACAAAAGAAAGCCCAACATGACAGAAACCTATACCCAGCCAACGTGACCTCCTTTCCTTCTGGCTGAGCTGAGGGCTTCTTTCTCAACTGAGAAGAAGGCAAGGTGAGGGTTCTCGGGCTTAGGGCTCAGTAAGAAAGCCCAGACCTTACCCCCACCCAAACCACCCCTAAAAGGAAGGACACTGAATTAGAAGCTCATGTTTGGTTTTCATCAGCCATTTTAAGAATTTCCCTTAGGCTACAGAAGTACATGGCTAGGAGAGCTCAGAGCTCCAGGCCCTACAGGGAGACTGGCCTATTGGCCATTTTAATCACAGGGCAGACAGGTGAGCAGCACATGACCCCTTGTCAGATAAGGCAGTAGAATAAGGATTGACCCACAGAGGAGGACACTCAGGCTCTGTTGTTCAATGACAATGAACTCTTCCAGGCACAGAGGATGAGGGTCCATTGCTCCCAGATTTGCAATAGGAGAATAGCAACTGTTTCTTAACCATTAAGAAACAGAAGCCAAGTTTCCTCTTTGGAGAGTATCCAAGCCGAGGCTATAAAAAGGGAGTTTCTTTACATTTTGAACACTCCAAGTGGGATTTCAAAAGTCATGATAAACACCAAACATGCAGTTCATCAGGCTCCAGAGTCCAGAAACATCTCCACATGGCCAGATCACAAGGCAAATGTTGCTTCTGGTATAGAAATATGGAGCTGGCCAGTATCCTAGTTACTCCCCTGACAACCATGAAGTCGTACAAGCTTCTCTTGACTTGCATACCCAACTTTTGGCCAAACCTGACTGAGGGCCTAAAGGAACCAACTGGGAAGGTCACAAACAAACCAACAGAACCAAGATGCGCGCTAAAGAACAACGGCTTGAGCAGTGAGCCAAAGAGCCCTCCACTTGTGGCCACCTACTGAGGGTCAGTGAAACATCAGTCTGTTCTGCAGCCCCAGGCTCCAAAAGAGAGGCATCCAGATGTCTCTTCTAGCTCAGGCTGCATGTGGAGAGAGCAATGAGTGGAGGGAGAAGGCAACACAGGGAAGAAGTTTCCATCCGGATTTCCAGGGAGAATTCCTCAGGTGGACAGAGGCTTGGACGAAAAGAAAAAAACCAACAAATGTATGCCTGGAAGGTCTGAGGAGTTATCCGTGTTGTGTTCTCTGCGGATTTAAAAATGAAACACAACGATCCTCTGAGTCCAACAACAAGGCAGCCTGAGCTATGAAATTCTTTTCTGTGATTTTTGGCATCAGAACCGTATATATTCTCTCTGTCCCTCTTAGCTCCCAAGTGGAAGGACTGCAGGGAAAGGCACATCACAGCAGAGCTGCCCCAGGGTAGGTGGGCTTCCTGAACCAGCTAAATGTCCCCATGGATCACCATGGCAATGCAGTATCCCTGCATTCAAAGCTCCAGTGAAAGAACGGAGTCCCTGACCAGCTGCTGGAGACTGGAGAAGACCCAGCTGGCTCGACACTCGGGCCAGCGCTGGCTCACGGTGACAGCCGCAGGCACGGCAGTAGTGGGATAGCTCAGTAGAAACGCTTCCGGCTCTGTTCCTGCCATTTGTTGTACAGTATGATACCAATGACAATGGCAAATACGGAAAACACCAGCGAGAAAAAGACGATGAGGAAGAGGGCCAGGCCACTCAGGGGGGGCAATGGGGCAGTCACTGAGGAAACAAGAGGGAAGCAAGTCAGAATCAGGAGCCCACCCAGTTGGGGAAATATCAAGTCTCCAGTTTCTGACACTCATTTCTGGGAGCCAGAGGGCAGAAAGACACTCCCTTTCCAGGGGCCCTTAATTTAAAAACTGAGCAGCCCTGCTCATCTGTAACATGGAGACCAGCAGAATGGCAGGAGCACGTGCTCCATGAACACAGGAAATGGCCCAGCGAGCTGTGGGTGCAAGTCACCCCAGACCTCCCAGGCACAGGGACCTCCTCTCTAAGCACAGGGCCATTTCCCAGATCCCCTGCGCTCACCCTCAGGCAGCTTCATGTTGTCCACCGAGGGCAGGAACACATCTCGATGCAGCTTCTCCTCTTCTGGGGTTCTCTCCACCGTAAGTTCAAACAACTTCAGGGAGATGACGTCATGATTATCTAAAGGAAAAAAGCACAGGGAGGACCCAAACCACCTCAAAAAGAGGTATCTTGGGAGTTTCACGCTACAGCTCATTAGCAGTGATCCTGGATTTTTTTTTTAGAAACTTTTTTTTTTTTAATTTTATTTATTTATTTGACAGAAAGAGATCACAAGTAGGCAGAGAGGCAGGCAGAGAGAGAGGGAAGCAGGCTCCCTGTTGAGCAGAGAGCCTGATGTGGGGCTCGATCCCAGGACCCTGGGATCATGACCTGAGCTGAAGGCAGAGGATGAACCCACCGAGCCACCCAGGTGCCCCAAGAAACATTTATTTTAAGTAATCTCTCCATCCTGCGTGAGGCTCAAACTCGCGACACCAAAATCTAGAGTCAGATGCTGTGCCGACTGAGCCAGCCAAGTGCCCCGCCAGCAGTGACTGAAAAAAATAATTGAAACCTCTGTTTCCTTTCATGTAAAAATAAGGATGGGGAATAGAGAATAATCTATATTACTGAGGATTTAAAGTTTTTATCAATAGGCATGCATTACCTATATAGTTTTTAAAAAACTTAGACATAATGCAAGCATTAAAGCCCACCTCATATATAAAACCTTGGAACACAGTGAGAGAAGACACAGCACCACAGCTTCCCGTCTGTGCAGACAATACGCCCAAGCAAGATAGGAAAGGGCCTCATGCCAGCTGATTAACAGGCCTTGAGCACGGCATAGCTACTGGCATGGCACACTTCCCATCTGGACAATGACTAATTCTCTGCAGCTTATAACTATCACCCTGAGTATCTCACTAATAATTACTAGAGAAAGGATCAAGGAATTAGGGACTCCCATTTTTTTCCTCTATTTTTTAAGATTTTATTTGAGAGCATGCACGCATGCACGTGCATGAGTTTGGGAGGGGCAGAGGGACAAGCAGACTCTCCACTGAGCGGGGAGCCCAACACAGGGCTCCAGCCCAGAACCTCTGGGATCATGACTTGAATGCAAGAAAGACGCTTGACTGACTGACCCACCCAGGTGCGCTTTTTCTCTTTTTAAAGTTGTTATAATCTAAATGATTCAAACATATTTGATGTGTTTCAAGACATTGAACTTGTACATCTTATAGATGCTCAACACGACCCATCTTCCTCCAGTGGGAGCCCATTCAAGTTGGCTCTTGAGCTCTTTTACATGAACCTAGAAGTTTTTTATTATCTTCCTTGCTTTCCTGGGAAGTTCCCAGCTTCCCCATTTCCTGCCTCAGATCTGGCATCAGTCGTTTCTCCAAGAAGCTCTTGTTTCCTTTAGCAGGAACTGATATTAAGAGACCACAAAGCTGAATGCTAGGGGTGCTCATGGCTACCAGCATGGTCACCAGAGACTGGATTTCTTAAGAGAAAGACCTAATTTGTATTTAGAGCTATACTACAGCCAGAGAACAGACACTTACTAATGTAGACAGTATCACTAAACATGTAGAGCAAAGGACTTTTTCAGATAAAAATTATTCTATTTCATACTAGCTTTATTCATAATGAATTATACTAGTCAAAAAGCCCAAAAGTTCAGTGCCTTACCTCTTCTCCAAAGAGGTTATGATTAAAGCTCAAGCCAAGGGACAGAATAAACACGGAAGGGGAAGCTACAAGTTGGAAATAAGTAGGAAGAAAATCCAGAGATAGAAAAGTAAAAGAACTAGGTACTGTTAATGCCACATAAATCAAGCAGGAGTTTCAGAGTAAGTGGTCAAACCAGCTAAAGAGAGGACAGAGAGCAAGGGCTGAGAAGAGAGTACCATGCGTGCCGAGGAAAGAGAAGTAGTTTGGATGAGAACAGTGCTAACGGTCTGGCTGAGATGCCCAGGAGGCCTGAGTACAGCGGGCTAGAGTGGGGGATGGCCTGGA